CACATAGGCCGCTTCACGGCCCAGTGCGGAGAGGCCGATTCAGATGCCCAGAGGCTCCGTTTATTAGTTCACTCTCTGACCGGCGCGGCGTTCTCATGGTTCATAAACCTTCCACCGAATTCGGTAAGGGATTGGTCTGACATGGAAAGGATATTCCACAAACTTTCTATCAGACCAACCGAGAAATAACGGTCTTCGAGTTGGCAAAGATGAGCCAAGCATCAGACGAATCACCTCGCGCTACCTACAGCGGTTCAAAACGCGCAAGAACTGGTGCCGCACGAACTTACCGGAGAGGGAGTTTGTCAAGATGGCCGAAGAAGGATTGGAATTCGAATGCAAGAAGAAATTCCAGGGAATTGAATTCCGGGACATGCACGATTTGATCAACAAGGTGGACCGATACGCATCCTTGTTGAAAGAAGCGGTGCAAAAGAGGACAGCTTCAAAAGGGACTTACTATCGGAATCCCGTTGTCAGCTATGCCAAAGCAGACGGCCCCACATAGGCCGAGAGTGACGAAGTTGAGATGAGCTCAGCCGAGGTCAGTATAGACAAACCATTCGTCTGCAAATGACTCGTCAAGGCCGACAATAATCGCACGAAGATTCCCGACGCCAAGTTCGCGACTCGAGAAACGAAGGCCTACACTTTTGATTTGACCAGGGTTGAAGCTATCTTTGACCTACTGTTGGCTGAGAAAAAGGTTAAATTGTCCTTTGGCCATAAAATTCCGAAACCCGAAGAGCTCAAAGGAAAGACGTTTTGCAAATACCACAGTTCTTGGTCTCACAACACCAACAACTGCGTTGTTCTACGAGACGTCATCCAAAAGTTGATAGACGAAAAGAAGCTCTAATTTCGAGAAAAAACGGCCATGCAGGTCGACTCCAAGCCATTCCCTCCACCTGTCATCAACATGGTCAACGCTCAGCTCTGGGCTGAATATAGAGAAGTTCGTCGGCTGGCAAAAGGAAATGAGCCACTGGCCAAACTAGAACCGGTACCGTGCAGTCGGTGCAAGTACGAGATCGATCAGCTCAAACCACCAGATAACAAAAGGAAGGCCGTCGAGCCATCTCGACCGCCTATGAAGAAATTCGGCGGCCAGTACGACCGTCGGCCAGCAAGCAGGGCAGTTTTCGACTGACTAGGGGCACAAAGCCCCAGTATCTCGGCAGGCCACAAAGACGAAGCCGCTCCTAAGCCGGTGAAGACTTTCAAACCACCGGTCGTACGGGATGACCGGTGGGATCATGCCCG